GGAAACCTGCGAGGAAAGAAGAAATTTCAGTATAGATGCCCATTGCCCACCCCATGCAGCTCATGTCTGCCCGGGCACGAGACCGACTCCGCTGCTCACTTCCAGGTCCGCTCCCTATACCTAGTCTATGACCGGACAGAGGAATGAAAAGATGAGCTTGTCTCTGTCACTCCGCTCTGTCCTCCTTTCAGCATGCCCCTTGCACTGCAGCCCAGCGGATTGGCTCCTTGTGCCGTTTCTCCCTCCCCCAGTCTCAGCTCTGCTGTACAGTAGACTGTTAGAGGCTGATACCCAGGCACAATAGTACTTGTAATTGAGAAATAGATTTAATGATGTATTAGTGATTAATAAGCGGAACCAGCAATGAGGAAACCGAGGAGGAAGTGAGATGTGAGCACGGAGCGTGTCACCGAACCCGAATCTCAGCCCAATCACCTTCAGTTATAATAATGTCTTCCATTTGTTTTACAGGAATGAGAGAGAGATAGAGAGAGGGGGGAGAGAGAGAGATATAGAGAGAGGGGGGAGAGAGAGAGATATAGAGAGAAAGTACAGGGTATCGGGGAGCAGGGAGGTCGGGGTGATGCTCACCTCTCGGAGGAGCCGGAGATTCCCGGGGTCCCGAGTGCTCAGCTCCAAGATGTTCTCTCGGGCGCCCACATAGAGCGTCTCCTTGTTGTCAGCCAGCAGGAGCTGATCGTAGTTCTGCACACCAAACCGACTGAAGGAGCTCACCGACCGGGCCGGATCACCTAGAAAAGACACCGGATGTTATACATTGATGTCACTCCTCTATATCTGGGGGGCGGTGATGTCACTCCTGCATAATACATCTTCTATCTGGAGGGCGGTGATGTCACTCCCGTATAATATATCTGGAGGGCGGTGATGTCACTCCTGTATAATATATCTGGAGGGCGGTGATGTCACTCCTGTATAATATATCTTATATATGGAGAGTATCTCTGGAATGTATCGGCACGGTGATGATTGGGTCGGTGAGGTCACATGACATGATTGTTGAGAACCTGCTGTGCCGGTTCCACGTTTTTGGCGCAGGTTTCGGGAATTTCTAATTGCAGGTCTGGTGACGGGATTCTCTCTGAAGCTTTGAAGTTCTTTCAAGTGGACTGACTACATAACTTGATATAATCACCTCATTCCAGGAGGAGTAATAATAATAACAATGCGATCCTGCACACTCCTATACAGACCGACTGATGACATGCTTACCGTGCTGGAATACAATCCTGGGCAGCACCTCGCCGGCTGAGGGGGGCACAACGCTGACCAATAGCAGTGCCAGCCAGTGAGGGAACAACGGCCATGGTGACATCATGAGAGGCGGCGATCACAGCTCACCGAACCCGGCTCTCTCCCAACACTGCAACAAGAAACACATTATATCATATACACTATGTAATATAGCAGATGGGACGGAGCAATGCTCTGCAGATCTCTAGAGGTCAGTGGTGGAATAATCTGCAGAATATAACAATATGTATCTGTCAGGAGGGAGATGGGACGGAGCAATGTTCTGCAGATCTCTAGAGAGGTCAGTGATGGAATAATCTGCAGAATATATCAATATGTATCTGTCAGGAGGGAGATGGGAGGGAGCAATGTTCTGCAGTTCTCTAGAGAGGTCAGTGGTGGAATAATCTGCAGAATATATCAATATGTATCTGTCAGGAGGGAGATGGGACGGAGCAATGTTCTGCAGATCTCTAGAGAGGTAATTGATGGAATAATCTGCAGAATATATCAATATGTATCTGTCAGGAGGGAGATGGGACGGAGCAATGTTCTGCAGATCTCTAGAGAGGTCAGTGGTGGAATAATCTGCAGAATATATCAATATGTATCTGTCAGG